TCAGACAGTCTGCTTGCATGGACAATATGGGTTTTGCTTAGGCCACCAGCAGCTCTGAGGCAATCAGGGACACTTCAGCTGTGATTAAGTCACATACTTTAGCCTGTGGGGGATGGCAGGAGGGGGGGGGGGGGGAGAAAAAGGAAAGAGAGAATGAGTGATGAAGCTCTCACTTCACAAAGAGGGAGTGGACAAGGGTTGAACGTTCAGGATCACTAATGTTAGTCTATACATCCTCATCTAGGTTTCCCTCATGACCTCTGCACCCCCCACCCCTCTCCATCAGGCACATGCGAAACACCACCCACCTCCCGGACCTATAAGCAGAGAAGCCCAGTCACCAGCACCCCCCCCCCCCCCCCCCCCCCCTTACTACACAGCAAAATCAATTTCTGCTTATTAATAACAGCTACGGTGTAAATATGTGTACTGCAAGGGAGATGGATGGAATTGAAAGAAGAAAAAGAGGATTGAGATTGTGATGGTGGTGGAGGTGGGGGTCATGGAACATGCTCCTAAAAATCAATTTTCACAGGAGGACTATTAGGTTATTGAGAAGTGGGATGACTGATTGAGGGCTGCATTGTGTGTGTGTGTGTGTGTGTGTGTGTGTGTGTGTGTGTGTGTGTGTGTGTGTGTGTGTGTGTGTGTGTGTGTGTGTGTGTGTGTGTGTGTGTGTGTGTGTGTGTGTGTGTGTGTGTGTGTGTGTGTGTGTGTGTGTGTGTGTGTGTGTGTGTGCGCACATGTACTTACTGTAAATGACCTAACAAGCTCCTGACTTTAGACTCTAGCATGACATTTTGGGAAAATTGTATTCAAGACACCTTTCCCAAAATACACATCAACTCACTTTTCTCAAGATAAAACTTAACTAAATGAATGATCCTTCCTTCTTTCCCTCTGTCTTAAAAAAAAGAGAAGTGAAAGCATGCCCACTTCTGCGTAGTAACCAGAAGGGAAGGAGAGGAATGTGGCCTGCCTCAGCGAGAAATCCCAAAGTGCTTGCCGACTCCTAGCTGCTAATACAACTAATGCAGTAATGTAAGGGCCAAGGCGATTAATGAGAGCGCTCTGCCCCTGACATCTCAGACACCCTAATGTTGCTGCAGCGTCTCCCTAGCCGTGCTTTAATCCATCACCGGTCCCTATAACCCAATTATGGCCTGACGCTTTACTTTTAGCTCCTCTGCTGGGTCCTTCACACACATCTATAAAAGGGCAAACATGCACACACACACACTCAGACAAGAGTGTTTGAGCATCGTCAGACAAGCACACTTTATAAAAAAAAAAGACATTGGTGGGATATTTGCGCGTACACACACCGCCATACACACAAATAGAGATACAAGTGACACTTGCAGATCTGGGTGAGGCATAAGAAAGGACACTTTAAGAGAGGGATGAGGGCCTTTTAAGTAATAGATATATTGTGAAAACACACACTCATTTAATCTGCTGTTAACTCCCGTAATGTTGTTTGCATATTCAGAGTTAAAGCCTTTAGATCTGGGCTGATTTTAATGAACCCTGAATGTTAACTAACTTCCTGTATATCTAATGTCATCCCCATAAAGCTACTCTCTTGTTATGGTTGTAATCGTAGCATGATGCTACACTAACATGCTCCATTCCCAGAGGTCCATCAAAGCTCTGTTTTAGGTAAGGGGGCGTATGTAGTGCATTTTTCATGAGGTCCCCCGTACAACATTTATGATTCACCCTCAAGGCTTTAAAACAATACTTGACTGCTTTTTTCACCAGGAAAACCCTATAACATCTGGAACATACTGTATATGAGGGCGTCTTGCAGGAACTAGAAGAGCGGTGTTGGTCCTCCCCAAACCCCTCCCTCCTTCTCTCTTCCTCTCTGTCCGTCAGTTATGTCACACGTAGAGTAACAGCTCTGTCAATCAAGAGATCTATGTGCTGGCTTCCTCTAAATCAGGTGGATTGACTCCTTAAGAGTTACTGGAGGAGCCTACTTCCATTAGCCACTCCCAGCGGCAAATTAACTTAAATGTATACCGCTCAATAAAGTTCAAGACAATCATTTGCATGTCAATGTCTTTTTTTTTTCTCTCAAGGCCTTCCCAAACATACAGCTGACTCGTGCAAATCCTGAGATTGCTGTTATTTCATTGCGCTAATACCAATTAGCCAGAGAGCTAATTGCAGAGATAAATGTGTTAGTCAGGAGAAAAATGTTGCACTCTGGTGTTAAAAAACTGAAATCAAATTGAGAAAATAGGACCTTTTTTACTTTAAACTGACTTATTCCAGGAGTGTGGGAAAATGTGGCCATAATTATTTACTCACCATGCTCTTTTATTGTTTTTCAACTCATTTGCAAATGATATACCGTAGCATCCTGCATCTTTTTGTGTCAAATGTCTGTAACGGCATGACAACTGAGTACAGAAAGAAAGTTGTGGACAACATGAATTTAAGGGGCATTAGTCAGATCTTAGTAATTCATGTTATTTTCAAATTAAATGACAAACGGGTCTGAAGAGTGTACAAATGTTTACCGATATTCCTTGTCAGTGGTCATGCTCCATTCAATTCACCCCAAGTATCTGATGGTTATCTGCACTCACATCAGGTGCTCCTTTACCCTATTCCTAAATCACTGTATAGCTAAAACCTGTCTCCTGCCATCCATCTGTCCTCCTAATCAGGATATGCTCTACCTTTGGTCCTTAAAGCCAGAGTAATGTCACTACTGGGCTATGTTACATCACCAGTGTTCATGTTTATACAAATATAGGTTGAATAATATGATAAATAGTGATGTAGGGAGGATTACTGCTGTTGAAAACCACTTAAAAGTGGAGGTCAGAGTGGTTTATAAGACTATTAAACTATCCTTTCTGTCTTCCTCTCTCCTCTCCTCTCCTCTCCTCTCCTCTCCTCTCCTCTCTCTTCCAGCCCCTGGGTGTCTTCAGCATCAGATGTCATCCTGCTAGAGACAAAGTAAGTCAGACAAACACACAGGCTGGACCTCTGAGGAGAAGCTTGCCGCATGCTCAAGTGCTATAAGTGCCCGGGAGTCGTCTTACAAGAAACACTTATTGCATTTTGTATTGAGCATAATGTTATGAAAAATTAATACAGGGATGGTGTGCCTTCCTCTCCTTAGCCTTCTCAGTGTGAGTCTATGTGTCCACTCTTATGCATGCACAAGCACTTGCATGTACTTTCTGTATTTATGTTTTGGTAAATGCATGTCCTTGTGTGTAAGATGGTGTGACTGCATTCATGTGAGTTGGGCAAGGGTCTAATTGTAGGATAATATGCATATCACAGAGGTTTACATCTCTAGAGACCTGGTGTGTTGGTGAAAGAGCCGCTATCTGACCCAGCTTCTATATTGTCAATAGTTACGGCACAGTTCTCCTTCCGTTTGCAGCAGTTAGGCTCTTTATGTCCCCCGGTTAGTGCATATATTGACTGCACTATTGGCAAAACAATAGTGAAAACATACTAGCCTAAAGGACTGTAAATTGATATGTATACAAAAACAAGAACAGCAGGAAACAAACGATACCTGCACAAAATCGAATGCTTTACAGTGGTTTATATAAAACATATTTTGATATATTACACATTTTATATTTTCCCGGGTATCATGTTGCTGACCCATTTTGAGAATTAGTTTTAGTTGTAACCAAGAGACCTTTTCCCTAAGCTCATGTCAGAAATCTCTGAAATTTCCCCTTGTTCATTCCCTTTTCCTATCCCATCTTTATTTCATTTTGTTTTGGAAATTAATGCAGCCAACCTGTGCTCTTTAAATTGTGATGGATTATTTTAAGAAGATCAACGGAAATCTTTTTTAAAAGGATTGTGAATCAAAACAATGTTTTATACAATTTTCCTAAATTTGAGTTTCCAAATCTGTGCTGCGGTATCTGATAGGATTAGGGGCTTTTCTTTTTTAAACATTTTTTTTTTCTAATTTGATTGTTAAGGAACATTTGATGTTTAAATATATGGTCTTAATCCCCTTAAAATTCCTACAGGGCAGCATTTATTTTTCCAAGCTTACTTGTGGCAGATCCGGTCAAAGGAAAAACATAGTCGCGACAATCTATGAAGTTTCAATTATGTTGAAGAATCAAAGTCACTAAGATCAAGCTTTTGATAATATGCCAAATGATGTGGTAATCAAAAGTAGGTAAACTGCAGTGGGTGACTTTTGTTAAAAGCCCATGTTTTAGATCTTTTACAACTGAGTATGTACTTAAGATGTTGGGCTGACCATGGGGAACAGTGGTTGGTGACCCCTAGGTGGGATATAAGTGGGGGAAAAAGGCCACAGAAACCAGATCTGGGTGACATGGGAGCGATCAAATAATAAATCATCCCACTGTAAGCTGACAACATACATGCTTCATGATCCTCTCCTCTCCTCTCCTCTCCTCTCCTCTCCTCTCCTCTCCTCTCCTCTCCTCTCCTCTTATCATTCTCTAAAAATAGACACCAAACCCCTATGGATGTTGATGGATGGACTGTGAACTCCTGACCCGATGAAATGTAACCAGAAAGGGTATCGCAGCACTGGTTAGTTAACAACCCGCCTTTGCATTGTGACACTGAATACCTCACAGTCTCATCTATAGCTTTGGTTATCCGGGTTTTAGGTATGACAGATGTTTCACATTAACGTCGAGGGCAATATTAGGGAACCTTCCTCTGAGCACTGTACCAAATCTTATCACATTTGATGGCAGTTTTTCTATTCGTTTTTGAGATATTTCAGTCTTGAGAGAATGGTGGATTATGGACTAAAAATAGAAACATATTGCCATCCCTACAGCCATTGTCATGGATGAAAATCGTTCATTTAACCTAATTAAGTAAAATTCAGTCTGGGAAATGTGGCTTGTTGAAATCACCACAATGATTTTGCAATTATTTGTGCTTTTTGTGTTGCATTATGATTAGAGCCAGAGGGCCCGGAGAAAGAGGAGAGAGGGGTGCACTGACACGGAGCTTCTGGGATGGAGCCTAGTATGGATCAGTGGGATTTACTCATCATTCTGCCCTCAAGGTAACATATTATGAAAATATAACATGTCAAAGACAAATAGCTAAACGCTCAGATATGCCACTTTCTCTCCTGTGTGGTGTGATGCTCCACATTTGATTCCATATGTCTGCGTTGTGGAAATGACCAAAGGCTTGAGGCACTTACAATATCGCCGCTTCAACCCCCGCCCCTCAAAACCATACACACAATAACACAGCAATAATCTTAATGACCCTCTCATATATACTCTTTTCTATTTCCTCGCTTCCTCCACCCCTGACCCCTCCCCTCTTTCTGTCCATTTGCACAGTCCCCTATCCCAGGTTACTTCCACCACAACGGAGACGGCTAAACACACCCTCTTCCCACTCCCAAACCCCACACACTCATACACACCCTGAGGGTGAACCCAATAGGTCCACTGCGTGAGTTGTAGCATCTCCCCTCTCGACTCCCCACCTCGGCGTGTTTCTTCCTCCTGCCTCTGGGGCTGGAACATGGACATAGCTCTCTCTCCCTTCTTTATCCAGTCCAGATAACCTTATGTGTTGGACAGGCTGAAAGGAAACCCACAAATAATAAGTTGACTTTCACCGAGAAGACGGTGGGCAGCTCGCCTGCTGTTGGCATCATCTCAGGGTTATTCTCTGAGCCAAAGTGATGATGAGGTGTAAGGGCAGTATACGGGGGCTGTCGTCAAGGTAGGCCGAGTCGTTGCCGAGTTTGAATGTATCACATCCTTCGGGACTGCATTCAAGTTAAGCATTAAAGTGCTGCGAGGCAAAAAAAGGCCAGTACATCACGAATATGCAAGAGCCAGCACAGGACCATGTGTGAGTGTCTTGTTTTTTGATATCTCAATGAAAGGAAAAAAGTCATGTTCATATATAATTAAGATCACAAAGTCACACAGTTTGTGCTGGGTCAAACCCTTTTCATATCGTAGTTTGCCTTTCAAAAGAGATACTCACAGGGAGAATACGTTATGTTTCTTTATGCTATTGATTCAACTTCTCAGGCCACTCAAGCCTCTCAAGGCCAACATTAAAATGTCTTGCTTCTTATCTCCATCTTTAATTGATGGTGGATAAGGCTCTTCTACACACACACTACATGTTTGTCTCTTCACTCCTTGATATTAAGTGTGTGTGTGTGTGTGGACTTTAAAGGCTGCTTTTGTTTCCTTCACTGGTTTCATTCTTGGCCTGACATGAATAAGACAGTTATGGCTGCCTTAAGAGCTTATGGATTAAAAGGAGGATGTGCGTCGTTAGAGCAAGACAAGACATTAGGAGCTCTTTATTAGCTAATTACACAGACAATGGGTTTAAAGCACTTGTATAAAGAAATATAATGACAAAAGCAGAAGATTATTTGAAAGACTTAATGCCTGCTTGCTCCATTTGCATTAATTAAGTAAGAGGGTGGTGATCTGTATTGCAGCAATTAAGAGAGTGCTGCTGATAAATTGAGGGTAGAACCTACTTTAGCAGATGATAAGATGGAAGATATGAGTGCATGAGAGTCTGGTAGTATGAGAACATTACATTCATAGTGTTCAAACAAAGGCCAACCTAGGTGAGGCGAATGTAATTGTTGACAATAAAAGCTTTAATTGATATGTCAGCATTTGTTGGACCTTTTACCCAAGCTAGAGGTGGCCTCAGCAATATCGATCATTTCACCACTTGGGTCTGGACTGAAATAGCTTAGATTTTCCATCTGGTGCTACCAATATATCATTTATTTAAAGGATATTTCTCTATAACTATTTGATGAATTGCAATGGCATTTGGTCTATGAGATCTATGGGCCCCAGTGAAAAGTCTTGACAAATTTGAATTTGTAACATACCTTTTCCCCAAAAAACGTATTGCATGTTAACACACTAACCGGTGCTTTGGATAGCAAACAGTATACCTTCTAATTATCTGCATTTGACAGTAGCCTTAACATTGTGAGCATGTAAGCATGTTAATGTAGGTCAAAGTATGTTTAGCCCATTGATATATTAAGAAATCTGGGTATGGCTTGACCAGTCTTGCTTCCTAAAGCTTCCAAAAAATGATCTGCTGCTGCCCAGTGGAGCATTCTTCTCCAAAGTTCCATCATAGAAAACAGAAAATCTGTCAAATGTTTGAAAGGACTCTCTAAACTAAAATAATACAATACAAATTAATACAATATGTTTTTAAATCTTTGAATTTTTTATGTGCTTAACTTTCCTAAAACGGTATTACCCATACTAATATAATGTTAATGGGAATAGTGCGAATACAACGTTTGTGTGGATTATACTATAGTTTAGAATAGAACATACACTTTAAATATTCCAATCTAGTATACTCTAAGTAAGGAATAATGTGCAGCGAGGCGGTCATTATCAGATCAAGATCCCTCCGCTTCGTGGCAACGGCAGGAACTGCTTCGATAGCGTTTTTTGAGGAGCTTTTTGATTACAGATTTGAAAACATCATTGCTTGCTTTAAAAGTAGCACAATTCATTATGTCAAAGCCATGTAATAATGTTAATGGTAGACTCAAATAGGCATTTTAAATGTGAGACATTTCTCTTGGTCACCTGTCAATCTCTCAAAATGTTCTCTAGCTGTCAACGGTCCATCAGCTGTTGACAGGGTGTGGATGGGAGGAGATGAGAGGCGAGCAAACAGATGTGTGGCCATTATATCGCTTGTGTTTTTATCATCTTTTATTCCCCCTGCCCAGCAATGATTAGAGAGCTAGGAGGAAGTTTAGCACACATCCACGATGTGTGAAAGCCTATCAGGGCCTGCCAGTCTTCACAGGTCCTGACACCACGTGCAGGCCAACGGAAGTTCAAACATTACGTGACGTGTTCATGAATTTATTTTATGGGATTTTGTAAACTTGAATCACTGGTGTGTGACCAGCCTTTAAAAGCAATTACATACATTTAGGGTTGCTTTACTTTCCAAATTAAGTGTGTCTTCATATTAAATGATACATATTATAATTTTGCATATATAATTAAATTCAGATTTATAAAATACACAACCCAGTCGCCAGAAAATATAATGGCGTTGCAGGATTTTGCACAACTACAGATCTTATCATGATTAAGGGGACATATTGTCACATGACTAATGAGTCACATGACATGACAAATGAAACTAAAAACAACTCAGTTTTTGGTTTCAAAAGAGACAGAAACAAGGGTCTCCTTGCTTGTTTGACCCATCCACCTTCCCTCCCATTGCTACTGCATTACTTGCTCTGCCTATTGCCTTTGTATTACATTCCTTGCTAAAATGTTGAACATATTTGTGGTTTAAAGAAACTTACAATAGTAACATTTTTCTCATGCTGCCTGAGCTGAATAAAAGCATGCTCTGTGATTTAACCACACACTTCTGTTCTGAGTCATAATTTCAGCAACAGGAAAAAATCAGGTCACCTAACTTGTTAATAAACAGTTATCACCAATGGTGTGTGTGTGTGTGTGTGTGTGTGTGTGTGTGTGTGTGTGTGTGTGTGTGTGTGTGTGTGTGTGTGTGTGTGTGTGTGTGGTGTGTGTGTGTGTGTGTGTGTGTGTGTGTGTGTGTGTGTGTGTGTGTGTGTGTGTGTGTGTGTGTGTGTGTGTGTGTGTGTGTGGGGTGTGTGTGTGTGTGACATTTTTATAGAGTGTGTGTGTATGAGTGTTCCTGGAGGGCATGAGTGCAGTAATGATTTACTAAATGTCAAATGAACAGTTGTGGGGAGAAAACACCATACAGGCGCGGTGGCTGGAAGCTCTTTAGCATTTCACGCCCTGATTGTGAGACAGCTCCTTTGGTCAGCGCTAAAGCAGCAGCATGTCCTGAGAATCAGTGCCCCAGAGTTACATGCACACAGTCTTGGTCCCTAAAGCATCTCAGCTTTTCATATGGATACGCAAACAAATGAACACACACAATCTGACAGTGGACATGATTAGGTAAAGATGAGTCTGAATGGACGTGAACTTGAACATTCGCTGCCTCTTTCCAGAACCACCAAGATTTTTCCTCCTTTCGCCTTTCTAAATTTGCTCCTTAGTTGCCACCAAATGCTCAACTCCGTCACTGACAGCTTTTGAGTAGGAAAGAGCACAAACCATCTGCGCAATAATAGCTTTATGAGTTTGTTCCCTCTCAGAGAGAGCACACTGTGGTCTCTTGGGTGGGCATCACAGTCGGTGACAGCCTGATGTGGGCTGAGAGGTTGCCATGTTGGCTGTCTACCCCCTCTCAGGCTCATCTCCAGGGTCCACAGAGACTGTGAAGAGAGGCCTATCACCAGCGCTTCTGTTGCCTAATCACTTTCTTTCTCTCTTCTTGTCCTCCCGTTAAAATCTCAGCCCGCCGTATGCATTTGCACTCTGTTCCCACACCATCATTTATTTATTTATTCCTTTTTCCAGTGTTGTTTTTCCTTTCAGCACTCTGATTTTTCCCGATTTGTGAAGGAAAAGACCCAGATGGCACCAAAGGCGAGGTCTTAGACACGCAAAATGGAAAAGCACACATACCCACACACACACACACATGTACACAACCAAACATACTAAGAAACAACACAATCAAGAGCAAACGTCGGACCTGTCTGTAATCACAAGCACTTCTTCAACAATTAATTCTCCTTCTATTATAATCTCTTCTGACAGGTGTGTTTGTTGACCACCAGGCTATGTTGACCAGTCCAATCTGCCAACAGAGACTTTATGCAAATGTAGGTCATCATACTTGGCTCATGCAATTGGTGTGAAGGGGCAACATGACAAAGAAGCAAGCAGCGAGGGGGTGTGTGTGTATCTTACTGAGGCAGAACCACAGATAGGAGTTGAGCGGTGGGTTGACTCTGGAGACTGTTTACAATCTTGAAGTGACAGTGGCCCTCCCTAATGAGAGTGACCTCCTAAAGTACCTTTCATCCATCTACCATACACACACATACACTGAGGCAAACGTGTCATTTGGGTCCCCTTCTTGATGCACCCCGACAGCTTGGTTGAAGAGTGGGTG